CAGCCGGGCCGTCCGCGCCGCCTGCCGCTCGGGTCTCGGCGCCGCGGCGCAGGGGGCGGAGGCTGAACGGCGGCCGCGCCCCACAGCCTGCCCGCCCCGCAGCCGGAGCCGGCGCGCCTTCTCTCCAGTCCCCGGGCCGGGCTCCCCGCCCACAGCGCCCCCCGGGGCCGGGGTGCGGGGGTCTCAGGCGCGCCCTCTCCCGCGTCTCCCAGCCACGTCTGCTGCCCGGGATGCGGAGGAGGAGTGGGGGCGGCCTCCGCAGTCCTGCCGCTTCCTCAGCCGGGCCGTCCCTAAGGCGGCCCTCGGGCCCTCGGCTGCCGGGGAGCGCCCTTCCTGGGCCAGGTAGGCAGGAAACGCACCCGACTCCCGACCCCAGGTGCTACAGGAAGTCCGCCTGCTTTCCCTCTCCCAGATTTACCCGAGTACATTTGCGGGCTGTGCCTCCAGGACCTCCCAGCTGCGCCCGGGGACCGACTTGAATTCCACTCCACCTGTGACCACCCGAGACACATGGCAGAGCTTTCGCCCTCGGCCCTCACCCCGGAGCTCTGGCCTGCCTAGCCCGGGACAGCGCTACCTCTCAGGGGGCCCAGGCTTTCTGTGTCTATTTCCTGCTTTCTCTTTTTGTCCATAGCTGAGGATTATTTTTTCTTCCTGGTGAAAGAAATGTCCTACTGGGAGAATTTAGAGAGGGAAGGACCTTAGAAATAGTGTTATGCCCTTCATTTTACTTCATTTAACCTGAGCGCTTCATTAATTTGCGCTGTTTCCTACATACACTGGGATGCAAGTCTACAGGCCGAGCATTTACCCTCTGAACCTCACTTTTGTAGGGAAATTTGGATGAAACCTACGTAAAAGTACACTGTGGGCGCTCGCCTATTTGTTTTCTTCCAAGACAGGGATAAAACCAGAGAGAAGACCCACGTTGCAGGGCTCTTGAAACAGTGCTCTCTCTGATGTACCCCAAAGCTGTTTTGTTTCTCTCTGGCATCTCCGAGCCCCCCTCCTCATACGGTACGTACTCCCCGTTTCTAAGTTTTATATCTTTTCTTTATGTACCTCTCAGCAGCATGAGAGCCCCAGAGGCCCCCTGGAATCCCCGAGGAGATTCTCAGAGCTCACTTTTAGAGTAGACCCTCCAGGGACTCACGAAGCCCTTCCTCCTTCCCCAGCTGCCCGACGGGACAGGTGGCCCTCGGTCTGCTGAGAGACCCGAACCAGGGCAGGGAGGGAAGTCTGGAATCTGGCTCAAGTGGCCTCCTGGAAATGCTCCCTCCTACCCTCCCTTCTGTTCAGCGCAGTGCGTGCTGAGGAATCTCTGGTGTCGGCAACACAGAGGGAGATACGAGATCTGCCTTCAGGAGTAGTCTCTCATGGAGCAGCAGAGGCTGCTGTTGAAAATGTTACACCACAAGGAAGAAGGTGGTCAATTCTGCCGGAGAGGCGCCGACCTCTAGAAATTCAGAGGGCTCACAGGTTAATAGGTTAATGTAATGGTTTGGTTTGGGGGTTTTTGTGGGTTGTTGGCCTCTTCCTTCCTTCCTTTCTTTCATACATCATACTAGGAATTAAACCTGGCCTTTGCAAGGAACTACATCCTCAGTCCTTTTTAAAAATTTTATCTTGAACTAAAAAAGAAGACCCCCCCCCAAAAATACATAAAAGATCCAATCAAAAATGGGCAAGTGAAATGAACAGACACTTCTCAGAAGTACAGATGGCTAATAAATACATGAAAAGATGTTCAGTATTGCTGGCTATTAGAGAAATACAAATTAAAACACCACAGATTCCATCTCACTCTAGAAAGAATGTCATCATCCAGAAGTCAAATAGTGAAATACCAAATGCTGGGGAGGCTGCAGGGAGAAAAGGAACCCTTCTATGTTGTTGGTAGGAATGCAAATTAGTACAACCACTATGTGTTGGAGTGGAATGTACAGATTCCTCAAAAAACTAAAACTAGAAATTCTGTTTGACTCAGCGATTCCCCTTCTAGGTATCTTCACAAAAAAGTTAGAGATCATATTACAGGGGTACATGCATACCATGTTTATAACAGACAGTTTATAATAGCTAAATATTGGAAGCAGCCCAAATGCCCATCAACAGATGAATGGTAAAGAAAATGGTAAAGAAATTGTATTTATACCCAATGGAGTACTACTCTACAATAAAGAAGGATAAATTTGAGACATTTATAGGTAAATGGGTATACTTTGAGACCATAATGTGAACTAAATCAGACGAGTTTAAATAATGCATGCTTCCTCTTATATGTGAAACCCAAAATATAAATAAAAAGCAAAAGCGAGGCGTGGTGATGCACACCTGTAATGCCAGCACTTGGGAGGCTGAGGCAGGAGGAGTGCCATGAGTTTAAGGCCAGCCTGGGCTTCATAGTGACACCTTGTCTCAAAAAAACAAAATGAGCAAAAAACTGAATAAAAAGAAAGCAAGAAAGAATAAAATAAAGTAGGGAGAACTTTTTCAAATGAGAAAGAGAGCGGGGGGGGGGAGGAAGGGGAAAAGGATTATAAAAAAGAATCAAAGAAAAAATGGAAATAGAGCATTTTCAAATGAGGGGATCAAGAGTTGGAAGGAGAGAGCAGGAAGTGATTTGGGAGGATGGAAGGAGGGGTGGGAGCGATGGGAGGGGAAGGGGCCCAAAGGAATTAGGATGTGTTACACACAAATACAAACTTTCCACCATAAATGTAATCGTTATGTATTGCAAACGTACTCATAAAAAATTCTAATACAAAATAATTTTTTAAAATCCCGAGACAGGGTCCCACTAAATCACTAAATTTCCTAGGCTGTGTTTGAACTTGGAATCCTCCTGCCTCAGCCTCCCTGAGTGCTGGGATTACAGCCATGTGCCACCAACCTGACAAATTCATTGTTTTTTGTGTTTTTGGTTCCAGGGATTGAACTCAGGACCTTGTGCTTGCCAGGCAGATGCCGTGCCACTGAGCTACATCCCCGGCCCTAATTCATTGTTTTTAATCAAATAGTTATTGGTCACTCCCAATCGTGTGTTAGATACTGTGGAAAGTTCTTAAGAGATGGGAGGTACATGAAAATCATAATAAATGTGTATGACTACAGGGGCACCTAAAAGAGCAAAGGAGAGATTCGTGAAGAAAAACCACTCAAGATCAGCTATGTAAACCAGGTGTGGTGGCATATGCCTATTATCCCAGCACTTGGGAGGCTGAGGCAGGAGGATGCATCGAGCTTGAGCCAGTCTGGGCTACATAGTGTGTTCAAGGCCAGCCTGGACCACATAGGGAGAGCCTCTCAAAAAAAAAAAAAAAGGCTCTGAGAGGACAGGCAGTATTTCTAAATGCAGAGATAATGTAAATAATTCCAGCCACAGGAACTGATATTTGCAAAGGTCAGAGGTGGTGTGGAGCCTGGGTGTGTGATCATGTCTGACTGCCACTGAGCTGAAGAGGGGTCAGAAGGGACAGCCGGGCTCAGGCCCATTAGGAGGACTTGAGTGCCCAACCCAAAGGCTTCTGTGTCCACCTGAGTCATCCAGATTCGGCAAATAAAAATACAAGATGTCCCAAGAAGGCTTGAATTTGAATACATAAGCAATCATTTGTAAGCTTTTCTCCATGCAATGTTTGGGACTTTCTCATATTAAAAATGTTTTATTTTGTTTTCTGAAACTCAGACTTCACCCATGTTTTACCTGGCAGTCTTGGTTCACGTTGTGCTTTGGAGGGAGCTGCTCAGTGCAGAGGTCCCCTCCCAGCCTCCCATCTGTGTCGCTCAGTGTTAGGTGCTTGCCTTGATGCGTGAGGCCCTGGTTCAATCCCCAGAACCAAATAAAAGGGTGCAGGAAATGGCACTGGCAAGGGTTTCCGCTGGTGCTGTTACATAACCAGGCCACAGATTCGAGGCAACACAATCTCTGGCTCCTGGTGTAACACCCGAGAGCAGGACTCCAGCGTCCCAGTCTTCAGCGCAGTGCGTGTCAGCGAAGAGACATTACACAGGAATCTACCATGTAGGGGACTGTGTGCCCCAGACAAAGGGGCGTGCCTTACACAGGTCTCCGTTCAGACTGTCCAGGGCTTGCTGAGGCCCAACTTTACAAGGGCTTGGAAGCCAGAGACTGTGGGAGGAACTTTCCTTGGAATTTTAAACTTGATCTCTTCGTGGCCTGGCAATATATGGTCCTACATTCCCTGTGGGTGCCAGGCTGTGACAGTAAGTCACCGTTCCTAGCCAGCCCCGTGACCAGTGGGCCACAGTCCACTGCACTACTGAGGTAGGATGTGGGGTAGGTGCGGTAAGTGCATTTTCCACTCACAGTGGCTTTTATCAGGATGGAACTTGTTGTCAGTGAGGAGCAGCTGTATTTCCATGCCTATTTTACAGCTGGGAAACTGAGCCCAGAGAGACAGACAATACTGTAGTCATGGCAGAGCAGGAATCAAGCCTGGAGCACTTTGCCCAAATGAGATTCCCCTGTGGAACAACATTTGGCAGCTCATGCTGATGTCCAGCTACTACTGCATTTTATTTAAACCAAGGGCTTCTTCCTGGCAGGCTGAAGGCCCCACTCCCTTCCCTGCTCTACCTGTATCTGCTCCTCTGCCTGCTGTTCCATCTCTCCAGAGTCTGCAGAGGGCCCCAGGCTGTCCGGACCAGGCCAGGCCCTCAACTTGCACCCCGCTTGGGGCTCATTGCTGGTGATGCGTATGGCGATGGTGGCCTGGCTACCACTGGCTGGAGCCCAAGGGCTCTCCTGGGACTGGGTCTTCCAGGCCAAAGGAACTAAGCCTAGGGAAAGGCTATCTCTGGCCAAAGTGCACCGGTCAACATGGCCACTGAGAATATCATCGCCACTGACAGCTCCAGTGACCACCTCTGCGATGAACCAGCACCACACAGAGGTCCATATTTGCCTATGAACCACAGGTCAGAGTTCCTGTGTTCCTGTGTTCCAGAGAAGGAAGGGTTAGAAGCGGGAGGCGAGCTACAGCCACCTCATGAAACCCAGGAGCCTTCACCTACACCGGGTATCTGCATTCACAGATGTCACCAAGGCCTGTCCTTGCCTAGGAGTCTGGCTTCCTGAGGTCCAGCCTCACGCCACTGTGTCCACACAAAAGCCTCAGACCCATCAGCCCCAGCACCTCCAGCAGCTCTCCGTGCGGGGACCAGCCTTGGGCAGCCCTCTCAGTGGAAAGGAGGAAGAGGACAGCCCCAGGGAATGCAGCTTCAGAAACAAACCTCAAGGCCTGGAGAAGGGCCCAGGGAGCCCCAAAGGGGAAATGAGTCTGTACAGATTGTCACGCAGCTGTTCACTTTGAGGCCAGAAATAGAAGTCAGGAGTCCTGACACCAAGCTGGGTGCTCGAACCCTGGCTCTTCTCCCTTAAAGCAGGATAATTACCTTGACCTACTTATCAAAGGCCACAGGGAAAGAACAGCCTATAAAAACAATGCTCAGGTCTAGGAGCCAGAAGTCCCTGACAGCTGAAGAGCTGCCTCCACCATGCCAGCTGGGCAGCCAGGTCGGCGGGGTGTGCTCTTGTCACCAAGGTTGCTGCTGGCCATCAGGCTGCAGGAGGGCTGCAAGCACAGAGCAGCCCACTGCTAGGAGAGTGAGCCTGAGTGTCCAGGGTGGAGAAGGCCATTGCCAACCAGATTTTACAGTCAGATTTGGCCAGAGTGTGAAGGGACTTTGAGGTATTGACTGCTGACATGTTAGCACCCAGTGATCTCTGCCAGCTGCCATCCTCTTCACTGCCTGGGTTCCTCCTCCTTCTGGGGCAGGGCCAGTTCACTGTCTCTAGATGCTACTCCCTCTGGCCCTTGGAAGCTCTTTGCCCATATGAAACTCCAATCAGTGTCCATTTGCTTCTGGTAAAGAGGGCACCCATTGCCACACCCATCACCCAGCCTCTGCCCTAGACCAAGGAAATCCAGCTTTCCCTCTCCCCTGCTGCCACCTGTCAGCCTCTGGTGACCTTCCTTCTCCAGCCCATGTAATACCTGCTCTCACTGGGAGACCCCAGTCTGCCCACACTCAGAGGGCCAGAAGGCCCATGATGCCGACTCCATCTGCCTCCCTGTTGCCAGGTAGGCCTGGGAAGAGACAAGGAGCATGGGCAGTGAGTAATGGCTCAGATGGGTGATCTCAGAAAGTCAGATCTGGCTTCCAGGCCATGGCGAAGGAGCCGACATCTCACCACAGCCAGAGGGATGGGCTTGGCCAGAGGCTGGCCGACTTGGGCAGAGGATGGTTCCAAGAAGATGGAAAAGAGGAAGACAAGTGCTTCCTGGAATCTGTAGACTTGGCTCCAAGAACAAGTGAGAAGCTGAGCTCAGACCTGAACATTGGTGCTGGTGGAGAAGGAGGCGTGGGGTTCAGATGGTCCAGAGGCAGACCCTACAAGGAAGTTGAGCTGGGCCATCTGAACTAAACCCTGCCTCGTTCAATGCCTTGTGTTGGCTTTGGACTGGAAATCACCCCTCTTTCCCTCTAGAGGTTGTGGATTTTTTTATTCATCTGTTCAGCCTTTGTGAGCTCTGGAGTTAGGCATCCCTGGCCCAAACTCCGATTGGCCATGGGACTCCTCTTTGTTACTTAGCCCCAGTTCTCAGCTTTCAAATCTCTACCCTAACTCTTACTTTCCTGGCTTGGGTGAGACAGCTCAATTCAGCCTTATAACATGACCCAAGGAAGAGGATGCTCAGAAATTATAGAGCAAAAATAATGGAGAAGCTCAGATGTTTCTATACCAGCATGCGTGTAACAAAGAAAGCCAATGCCAAGTCTGAAGCCCATTAATATCTGATGTCTGGAAGGGTGGGACTCACTTATGCTCTAAGTTACAGAACATGCAAGGAGCCTACTTCCTGCAAGAGACTCTGTAGAGAGAGAAATAAGAACATCCCTGCCATCCAGTCAACCAAGTCTTGCAGAGAAAGTGAGTTGAGCCAGAAAAGTGGTGAGTCAGAAGAGAGAAACGTAGTCCTAGGAGAAACCAAGGAAAACTCCACCTGGATGGGCTGGGAGCAGGTCAGAGAATACTGAAGAAAGAGAGCTACATGGAAAGGTGGGAGGGAAAGTTCTGGAGGAGAATTTAACATGAGGAAAGGCAGGGGTTGGGAAAAGCAAATGGTTCATGTGATGGGGACTAAATGAACGTGCTGAGGGAACTGGTATGAAAGCAGGTTCTGGTCCAGTCTCAGAGGTCTGAGTACCAGCCCAGGAGTGTGGTCTTTATTCAGCAAGGAGAATTCTTCTTGCATGGGACGTGAACAGTGTGAACTGCTACCGTAGGTGGAGGAGGAGGAGGGGCAGAAGGCGATGGATGGAGAGCTAGCAGGTCACCATGACCAGACACTTCCTCCCTGCCTCGTGGCTGCCCCTTCCACGAAGATTTCCCCTGCATCCAGAGCATTGAAGATGACAGGTCTGTACAGAACAGTCTTTTCCCCTCCTAATCTTTCCAGAAAAGAATAGGAAAGGATTACAAAGGTCATCTGCATTCCTATGCATTCTCTTTCTCCTCCCCTCAGGAAGTGGCCCTTAGCATGGCCCAAAATAGACCACACATACTTCTGCTTGGGAAGCTCTTTGGTTGTGTCTCTTTTGGTCTCAGACGGGCCCAAGGGGCAGGAAACTCCATGCCCCTTAGGGCGGCCTCTGCCTCCCAGCTTCACAGGCAAAGGAGAGAGGAGCTGCTTCAGTTTCTGCATTGCTTAGCTTGGTACTCGGGACTTTTCTACTCAGAGACTGAAGGCAGAAGCCTTAATCAGGGACCAGGAGGAGGAATTCATCTGCAGTGTGTCCTGTGTCATTCCTCAGGAATCTAAGAGTGGCAGCAGGCAGCTGGACTAGGTACAAGGCCAGCCAAAGGGAAGGGAGGACTTGCTCAGTGACCTTCAGGTTAAGAGCTCGGGGCAGTTGGGGGGGGGGAGATTTGTATCTGCCAGTTTCCTACTAGGCATAGGCACATACCTAGCCCGGTACCCAGTGCCTGGCGTATAGTTGGTGCTCAAGACATGCTAACTCAGTGAAGCCTCTTACTCCATCTCTAAGGCTCACAACAGCCTCTATGAACTAGCCTGGAATTAGAAGACTTTTTTTTTTTTTTTTTACGGGATAGGATCTCTCCATATTGCCTAGGCAGGCCTCAAACTCCTGGGCTCAGGCAATCTTCTTGAGTAGCTGGGACGCCAGGCATGAACCACCATGCCTAGCAGGAGACTCCTTTTTTTGTTGTTATTGTTTTTTTAAGAGACATCCCAGGCAGGAGTGGTAGCACACAGGTGTAACCTTAGCACTAAGGGAGGCTGAGGCAGGAGGATTGCAATTCAAGTTCCATCTGGGCAATTTAGTGAGATCCTGTCTCAAATTAAAAAATAAAAAAAGGGACTGGGAATGTAGCTCAGTGGGAAGGCACTGGGTTCAATCCCCAGACTTTGGTTTTTTTGTAAGATATACAGTAAATGGTAGAAGCAGGATTCCAGCCTAGGTCTGGCTCCTTCCCACCTCTGAGCTCTGTTCCCTTTCTTCTGCTGCTCACCAGATTGCAAGCAGGCGAGCTGCCGCATGCAGCTTTTCATTTAGTTTTGTTTACTTTTGTTTTGTTTTTGAGATAGGGTCTCTCTACGTGCCCAAGCTGGACTTGAACATGTGATTCTCCTGGCTCAGCCTCCTAGAGTGCTGCGATGACAGGCACATGCTAGTATACCCCACTAGATTGCAAGTCTGTGATGGGGCAACAGCTGAGGCCACAGATGAGAATGGCCAGTGTGGCTCTTGCAGGAGCTGAAGGGGTGTTTCACAAAGGGGTCGCGTTGACTTGTAGCAGCACCCCAGGGAGCTTGAGAAGCTTGAGAGGCAGATGCCGCAGCCCACTCCTGACTGTAGAGAGGAAGGCTGAGCTCTGCAGGAGGAAGGCACTGGTGGGTGCCCTGGCAGCAGGTGAGAGCAGAAGAGGAGCCCAAGACCATGGGCCAGGTGATACTGCAGAGAGCTCTCGCCAGCGGTGGTTGGTGTGTGTGTGTGTTGGGGGGTGGGTGCCGGGATGCTTCCAGGAGGAAACAGAAGAGGGTGTGTGTACCACAGGAGCCTACCCAGGGGGCTGGCAGATGTTCTTCGAGTGAAAAGATGAGAATTAGCACCACAACTGAGTGTAATTGTTCGTGCACTGTGACTAAGAGCAAAGTTGTCCTCAGCATCCATTGATACGGAAGAAGAGAAGCCGCTTGAGGAGGGAACTGTCATTTAGGGTTGGTGCCTCCGGCATTGGGGAATGAAGGACAGAGTGTATGGGTGCTCATGCTCTCCGCTCTCCAGGGAGTACGCTGTACTAACACTTCTCCTCTAACCTTGTCTGCTATATCCACTTGGAAAGAAGGTGTGCACAGAAATAATAGAGCTGGCCATACTGAAGCCTGACTGGTAGTGGTCCCCAAACAAACCACTCTCCAGAAGAAGGATATTTGACCAACAGACCCAGGAATCTCAGTCCTGTTGGCGAGTGCATTCCCATAGGGAAGAAAGGTGCATCTGACTATCATGGCTTAATACCCTAGATAAACCTACCAAGTCCCCTTTTATCGGAGGGTGATCAAGAAAGGGGGACATTGAGGGCTAAAGAAAGAAAGACGGTAGAGATTTGCATAATTTCAAAGTATACGGGGGCGGGGGGCGCTGGGAGGTCAGTGCCTCAGAGTGGGCAAAGACAAAGACACTCCAAGCTTGCCACTATTTATTGGGTTCATACAATAATTGAAGGGGGTATCAGTTGACTCAGAGTGTGGCGGTAATCCTAGGAGGATGAGGATCTTATGCTGATGAAGATCTTGGGTCAGTGAGGAGTTTAAGTTGATTAGGACAGTGCGATGAGCAAAATGTTCTCAGGACAGTAAGTGGGATGAGTTAAACTGATAAGGAATTTGTCCCTCCCCAGGTGAAACCTTTTCTCTTTTTATTACTACTAAGTTCTCAAAGAACCAGGATGTCTTCAGCTGATGTAATCTTGCCCTTGAGTTTCACAGCATCGAGGGATCATTGAGGCCTCAGCTGTGACTGGAGGCAAAAGGGAGTTATGTTTCCCCATGCCATAGCCAGCCCACAGGCAAGAAGACTAGGCCTCAGATAGCCCTAATCATAATTTGATTATGAAATGATTTTTCCCCAAAATTATGTAGAATGGCTCCCAACACTCTTTGTCTCACCATAGTCTTCTTTCTTATGTTTGAGACACAATACTTGACATCTACAACTTAAAGGAGGAGAGGTTTATATTGGCTCACAGTTTCAGAAGTTTCAGTCCATGGTCAGCAGGCTCCAAACAGGAAATGGCATGGTGGAAGGGCGAGCCTTGGAGGAAAGCTATTCCTGTCATGGCAGTCAGGAAGCAGAGAGCACAAGGAGGAACCAGGAGGAAGATTGGCCCATCCAAGTGTATCCGTGGGGAGCAGTCAGCAGCAGCAGAGGTGACCAGAGGTAACCAAACTGGCCCCCAGCTGGCCCACTTCCTTCGACCAGCGCCTGCCTCCCAACAGCAAGCCAGCGGTGTCACCTGTAACCCAGTCACCTTGCACAAGCCCCACCTCTGAGTGCATGGGGCTGTGGGGGGGAGTTGGAGATCCAAAGCACAACAGTATCCCTATGTGGATGGCCAGCCGGGCGTCAGGACCCCCAGCCCCGTTCCGTCCTTCCAGCCTTACATGGCATTCTGGTCACAGCCATTCCTTGTGATGCATCCCCAAGAGTCTGGTCACCTCTGCTGTGCTGACTGCTCCCTTTCAAATGTTCCACTCACTCACTCTTCCTCTCATTTGTCTCTCTAGTCAGGCAGTACTTGCACAGAGGAATCTCAGTGATACACAAGAGTGTGAGTCCACTCAAAGCAAATCATATGGGGAATTCTCTTTTGCCTTATTAACAGTTTTATTCCCCCAAAAGATAAAAGACACAGGCAATATAATCCTTGAAAACATTTCTAATCAACTTATTGTTTTGTTTTGGAGACAGGGTTTTACTATGTAATTCAGGCTGGCCTTGAACTCACTATGTAGCTCAGGCTGCCTTCAAACTCATGGTGATCCTCCTGCTTCAGCCTCCCAAGTACTAGGATTACAGACGTGCGCCACTCTGCCTGGCTGTCTGACCAACTTACTGTAACTATGGAAATTCCAGAAACATTTAGAGAGATAATACCAGCTTAGGATAACCCAAAAAGGGTATATTGGGCAAAGTAAATGAATACTAAACTTCAGGAAAGCAAGGATCAAAAAAATCTGAAACTATTTCACAATCACTACACAGAGATTGCTAAGGGCACTGAGAAGGCTGGGAGAGTCTCTCTCAGCCACGACAAGGTGACTGCTGGAAGGCTCTTGGGTGCAGAGAGGGAATACTGCCCCTTCTCCATTGAGGAAAGTTGGTTTTGTGCTGGCCAGGCCTCCATGTTACAATAGAAACCACCTCTGGCTAAGCATTGCAGAAAAAAGAGCTTACTGTAAGGATACACTGGATTTAAAAAAGAATCCAAAAGGATTAAAAATAAACCCAACTAAGATATAATCCGTAACCAAAGGAGATTAGATAGCCAAGAACATACCCCAAACTGTGTGCTCAGCTGTGGTCATTCCTTGTCACAACCACTGAGCCAATGGTGGTGGATGCATGCCCCGGTTGCAGCCAGCACTGCCACCTGGCTTGCAGACCCTTGACTCAAATGCTGTCACTGTGAATAGATTATGAATCTGTGCATGACTCCTTCGGAATCTGTGGCCGGAGCCAGGAAAGGAGAAGCGATTTGGTTTTCACAGTAAGAGGAAGGATTTTTTTTTCTCTTTTTTGGTACCAGGGATCGAACTCAGGTCCTTGAGCTTGCCGGACAGGGAGTGGAACCACTGAGCTAAATCCCCGGCCCCTAGAGGAGGGATTCTTCCAAAATAAGGACCTGGGTCTTAGTCAAAAGATACATTTACTACAATCTACCTCAAATCCACATTTACCCCTCTTCCAAAATTTCCACCAGAAAAACTTCTCTCAATATAATACAACAATTCCTTCTACAATTAACAATATACTTATATCTTTTCAAAGGGAGAAAACTCTAACCCTGTCAGTTCCTGAATTCAACTCCAGGTCTAGGATCTCAGAGTGATATCCATTGCTTCTATTTCATTATGATATTTTCTCAACATTTGCATCCTGTAAAGTAATTGATAAAATTTACCTACTATCAACATACCATTTGTACAACAATAGACCTGAGAAAGACAAGGAAGTAGAAGGGACTTACTTAAATACATAAGTAAAAGTATTTGACCTACCAAGGAGGAAAACCTGAGTAAAACCGACTCCGCATCAGGATTCCCTATAGTTGAGTTCATGCACAGCCTGAGTTCATTCTCAGTCCCATCGAACAGGCCTTGGGGTAGTTGGAAAAGGAAGCTGAATGACGTCTACAGCAAATAGTCCATTTGGTTAACTGAGTTTATTCCATTAGTTATTCCACACACTTCCCCAAATGACTTGCTCCACTGTGACAACATCATTTCCTACCAATAGAACATCCAAAATACCTCTTCCCCCAAACAGTCTTGTTCCAAGTAAGTCCCTCAGCACACACACAAGACACTAGGCTCTGCCCGTGACTCATTGTCAACTCTTACCTGGAGGCGTTTCTTCTTCAGCACAAAGCTGACGGGGTTGTGCTGTGTGAAGTTCCATTCCTCCCCTTCAGTCCATTGGAGCTGATCCGAGTGGGGTTGTTAGATCTGGCTGGAGGTAACTGTGTGAGACAGGTGTGGACTGAGGAAGGGGCCACTGTACAGCAGGAGTTGCCATGCTGGCAGTGAATGCAACCTTCCACGTACAGTCAGTTATTGTGCCTTCAGGACCTGCTGGGACCCGCTCTTGTATACACTGCTTTCTAGAGTTCCACTAACCACACCCACTTTTATGAACTCATGGCTCAGATGATACCAAATTCACAATGGACGGCTCAAAAGACCGTGGTCAAGTTCCATCCTTTTCAAGTGTCTGTGGCTGGCGAAGAGGCAACTCTTATGACAGTAACAGATGGTTACTGAGGACGTAGGTCATGGATGGCTGATTGCAAAGGCCTCCGCAGTGGGTGTCTGCATCAGGCTTCCCACAGCTGCATTCTGTCCCTTGGTCTGCCTCGGAGAAGTCAGGTGCCATTTGAACCCACAGCGTCGTTATGGCCACGTGCTCATCACATTTGCTGAAAGGTGGAGAATAGTCTCTTTCTCTGGGCCCTACTCAAACCTGAGACATCTTTCAAGCTACTTGGTAAACAGATGGGAGAAGCATAGGAAAATAGAGCATATATCACCTGAGAAGTCCAGAGGCCCAGCAAGCACCATGCTCCTCTCAGTGAAATGTGTGAAGGGCTACACCCTGCTCTTTACTTTGCACAGGCTATCCCAACATGACTTAGATGACTGCACCCCTAGAAACTTCTCTGATATGTCTACCCCCTGCCTTTTCTTAGCTTTTTCCTCCCTCCTTTACTCTTGTGTTTTACCAAGGCGCTTGAGGCATTTGATACTTCCAGGTCTTTAGATCCTATCATTGTAATATTGTAGACTAGCATGATGTCCAATGGGATAAAAAGATAGTGGCCCCTGCATTTAACTGTAGTATAGAGACAGAAAATATATTGCTGAGGAAGAGGTATTGATCGCTCTGTCATTTTTCTTCCAGGTGAAAACATTCTCTCTGGTGTTTTCTAATTACTGGCATAGAAAACAAGAGAATTAGTGATCATTGCAATACTCTAGGTGCCGAGGGAAGACCCCATCTGAAGCAGCATCCCCTAGTAAAACTTATAGTGATCCACAGGTACTGAAAACTCCTGCTGTTTCCCAAGATCCAGCAATCTTCTGTACTAGCCAAAAGAAATAGTTCAGGGAAATACTGTGGAACAGAACTCTGCATATTGCATTAACAAGACTCTGATGGTGGCAACTATATGAAGGATTTCCCTGGGGATGTAGTGTTATTTTGAGTGCTTTTGTGGTAGGCAGGGAGAATTGCAGATACTTCCACATGGATTGTTCATATGTAGGCCTGCTGTACAGGTCAGGAGGCTGTTTCTGTAGTTATACCGATCTCAGAACATCTAGTTCAACTCTATACAGAAGTAGAGACAGAGTATGGGATGGACTCAGGGGCCTTAGTAACTATTGGGAAGTAGACTCTGCTCATGTTTCCACTTTTGACCTGACTGACTAGTGGGCAGTGGCAGTATTAACCATTCTGAGTAATTAGCTCCAAATCAGGGTCTAATAGTCTCTAAAAATTGGTTTCTTTTCCAAGTTTCTTTGGTAAACAACCGCCCATCTCATTGGGAAAGGGTCGAGGAAATCCACATCTATACTTGTGGTACCACGGGGCTGTTCCTCAGAAGGGCCCGGCCTCCCCTTTATTCATGGGATCCAGAGTCTAGTAATTGGGTATGGGATGTTATTAGAGTGATGTAAGTCAGCAGACCTAAAATTGGGTTTTACATTTTTCTTATTATTTTTTAAAAAAATATTTTAAAGTCAAACAGGATCTCTGTGGCAATCATCGGTCTTGATATTGAGGTCCTATGATCAAACCACCTTAAGGCCGGAAGCTTCTGACTTTGCTACAGGCTTTGCTGCCTAAGACGGACAACAGTTCCCCAGACTGCTCGCAGCTAAGTGTCACCAGTTCACTTCCGCTAGGATCTGTCCATTGTCTTGGAAATAAGAGGGAGCATTTCAGGTGTACAGCATCTTCTGTAGGCATTTCTTGCCGCCTTAGATAATCACTAAAGCATTCTCAAAGGTTCTGGTAATTTCCTTCACCAGGATTTTTTTCTGGGCCACCTTGGGGACATAAAAACAAGACACAATAATATCTAATATTTTTATTTCCAATATCCTTGAACCCCTTCCTCAATATTTTTTTTTTCTTCCTCAATATTACACTACATTGCATCTCAGCTTGATCTGCATAGCCCACTACTGTGACTAGATTTCAGGCAACTAACCAAGAAAATATTTAGAAATACTTCCGGCTTCTCAAGTCAATATGTTAAACCCAAGGTTTTCAGAAAAAAAAAATACATATGCTGATAAATCCAGCTTAAATCTAAAATTTTGTGTTTTTTCCTACGTAGAAAATCCATTCCCATGTGTGTTCTCCTGCAAAATCAGTGTGCGTGTGTGTGGGTGTGGGTGTATGCTGTGTTCACAGTGTGGGCTGATTATGATCTCCCGAGTTATACTTTATAATTGGCCTCTGGGCATTCTGGTCCACAGTCCTAGCTAAGTGTTTGAAGATAATGAGCAGGGAGGGGAGTGGAGGATGAAGATAATTGGCTTCCTTCTGCAAGGTAGCAAGACTGGGTCCCTTGGGAGCACCTTCATGTAAAGCAACAATAGCCTCATTAGATACCACAGGAAATTTTGTTTTGGCTGGTGACAGAGACTTAGTGAGCTTTAGGGGTACGGGGTTCCCTGAGTTCTTTAGTTATTTGCATATGCTCCTGTTCCAGCTCTTGAGATGCAACACTTACTTGATTGAGGCCCTAACTTTCACATATGAGACCTGGTAAAGTCTGGATTCAGCTGGCCTTGTAATTTAGCAACTCATAGAATTTGGCTTCCAGTATCTCTGCCTCAAACCTGTAAGAAATGAGATGCTTTTAGAACAGTCTTAGAAAGAGCCATGTGTTGATCTGTATTATGATCTGAGAATTTGAGCACATAAACTTGTCATTTATTTTTGTGTGAGCAGATTGGAACCAATGAAAGAAGTGCTTGGGTTTCTTTTCATTTTCCTGTGTTTGACAGGAGTTGACGATTGCTTTCAATGTGCAGTGATCCAGGGTAATAGTTATCTTTTTACTTTTTACCACTGTATGTCATAAACATACAGTGGACCCTTGACTTATGAACTCAATCAGTTCCCAAGGGCTGGTTGTAACTCAAGTTGATTGTAAGTTAATATAGCTGAGATTAGGATGTTTACCTGGGTACATGCTATAGATAACAAAAGACAGAACTAGGTCCATTAACCTAATTAACGCAAGTTGTTTGTATGTCAGGCCGATCATAACTTGAGGGTCATACCTTGTATTACCCTTATATGATAACAGAATTGTTACTGTTCTTGGTCCTAAATAACCAGCCAGCCCATCTCAGCTTCCCTTTCTCATCCATTTCTGTAAGATTCTGTTGCCTACAACTGCTTCCCAGCACTGGGTTACCTGTGCCACTCAAGGTTCTTTTCCAGATAACAGAAACCAATGCTGGATAACTCAAGCAGAAGAACTAATCTATGAGAATGGTGTAGGGGCACTCATAGAATCAATGGAAAGTCCAAAACACCCAGATAAAACCCAGCCAGGAACCAAGAAAGGATGGGCAGGAAAATACCATCAAGATCCGGCCACCAAAATAAGGACAATGACCCTGGCACTGCCACCCTGGTTATTTTCTGCTTCCCCTCTTGATGTCACTGACAGAGAATGGCCATTCCTATACATCTCACTCTCAACTCCTCTACTACTGCATTAAAAAAAATCCTGCACTTATTGTGTCTTTGGATTACTTCTTCAATATTCAAAATCCTGAATCATAGCATCTGAGCCTAGGTCAGGGCTTACACTCGCTAAACAACACGGGGAGCCCTGGAGCCACATAGATCTGGATTCCTCCATCTAGGAAGGATGTGTAGATTCTAGGCAGTTTTACTCCACTTTCCCCAGAAAATGACTTCTATAGTGTTCAAACTGAAAAGATTTAGGACAAATATTGCAAGAAGAGAAAGCCTGAAGTAGATGAAGTAACTTATTAAGGTTATTTTAATTAATAAATAAAAGTTTTTCATTTCTACACAAATTTTTAAGGTGCTAAGAGAACTTAGAAAAGGGATTGCAAAGTAACCAACTTTAAAAATTCAAGAGAAACTGTAAGGAATCAAAAATTGAGTTGAGCTTGTATGAAGGAAAATAGTAGGTGCTGCTAATGACCAGGTGTTGAATATTGACAGTGAATACAAGCACGTGGTTAAACAGGATTTGCTTGTTGTGAACACTTGAAAATAATTAAACGAACAGTTGGTGTCAGTTTGAATTTACTAGGACAAATCACAGTAAACATGTTTATTTCTTTTTTGATTCAACTGATGAATCTGTACACTATTGGTAGGTGTTATGCCTTGTGTTGAGATGTGCCCTGAAAGCCTCTTGCAGTCATAGTAGGAGCTCTTTCAGAGGTGGCTGGATCTAGAGTGTGTGACGCTGGGATTGATTCATGGTGCAATGCTAGGCTCAACAGTGGGAGTGCTCCCCTTGTTGCCTCCTGCCTTGTGTGCACCATGTTGTTTCTGCTCTGCCATGCCTGTTTGTTGTCCCTGCCTTGGAGTCAGCTGATTATGGACTGAAACCTCTATGAACTGTAAGCCAAATAAACTCCTTCCCCCCTAACTTTGGGTGTTGGGTATTTTGTCTCAACAATGAGAGAAAAGTAACTGACACAGAAATTTGATACTGGGATATTTGAGAGTGGGATATTTGCTGTGACATTATGTGGCCGTGTGGCTCAAAAGCCTTTGGAACTGGCTTGTGGGAAGGGGAGGAGTTAGAAAGATCCAGAGACATTGGCTATTGAAGCGGCACTGGAACACTTCAGGCTATTTTGTTTGGGAGATTCCAGTCAGAGCTCAGAAGACCAGAAGGCTGATAAAGACAAGGCTCAGGAGATTTCTGCTGGGCAAAAGGACTGCATTAGCTG